AAGTGAGAGCGAGACTCTGTCTCAAAAAAATAAAATAAATTCTAGCTGGGTATAGTGGCTCACACCTGTAATCCCAGCACTTTGGGAGGCCGAGGTGGGTGGATCACAAGGTCAGGAGGCCAAGACCGTCCTGGCCAACATGATGAAACCTCATCTCTACTAAAAATACAAAAAAAAAAAAATAAAAAAAATTAGCTGGGCATGGTGGTGCACACCTACAGTCCCAGCTACTCAGGAGACTGAGGCAGGAGAATTGCTTGAACCCAGGAGGTGGAAATTGCAGTGAGCCAAGATTGCACCACTGCATTACAGCCTGGACGACAGTGCAAGACTCCATCTAAAAAATAAACAAATAAAAATAAAATAAAATAAATTCTACCCACTCTATTTTCTCACTTCTTTTCCTGAGATTCCTGTTGGTTGCTTATTAAGCCTCCTGTATTTTTTGAGCCAACTTTATTTTCTCCCTTCACTTTTGATTTATGCTCTAAAACAGTTCCTTGTCTTTTAGTGTTTTCACTGAATTAATTCATATTTTAAATTTTTTTCTGATATTTTACTACTATCCTGCTCTTTTTTTTTTTTTTTTTTTTTTTTGAGACAGGGTCTTGCTCTATCACCCAGGCAGGAGCACGGTAGCACTACCTTGGCTCACTGAAACCTCCGTCTCCTGGGTTCAAGTGATTCTCATGCCTCAGCCTCCCAAGTAGCTGGGATTACAGGCATATGCCACCACACCTGGCTAATTTTTCCTTTTCTCGTTTGGAAACAGTCTTGCTCTGTTGCCCAGGCTAGAGTGCGGTGGCACAATCTTGGTTCACTGCAACCTCCACCTCCTGGGTTCAAGCTATATTCTGTGCTTCAGCCTTCCGAGTAGCTGGGACTACAGGTGCTTGCCACCATGCCCGGCTAATTTTTGTATTTTTAGTAGAGATGGGGTTTCACCATGTTGGCCAAGCTGGTCTGGAACTCCTGACCTTGTGATCCACCATCTTGGCCTCCCAAAGTGCTGGGATTACAGGTGTGTCTCCGTGCTTGGCTAATTTTTGCATTTTTAGTAGAGATGGGCTTTCCCTATGTTGGCCAGACTGGTCTTGGACTCCTCGCCTCAGGTGGGTGATCCACCTGACTTGGCCTCCCAAAGTGCTGAGATTATAGAAGTGAGCCACCATGCCCTGCCCTATTTTATTTAATTACTTACTTTTTTTGAGACAGAGTCTCATTCTGTTGCTCAGGCTAGAGTGCACTGGGATGATCTCTGCTCTCAGCACCCTCAGTCTACCAAGTTTAAATGATTTTTGTGCCTCAGCCTCTGAGTAGCTAGGATTATAGGCACGTGCCACCATGCTCAGATAATTTTTGTATTTTTAGTAGAGATGGGGTTTTGCCATGTTGACCAGGCTGGTTTTGAACTCCTGACCTCAGGTGATCCACCTGCTTCAGCTTCCCAAAATGCTGGAATTAAAGGTGTAATTTTATTTTTTGTAGACATTAGGTCTTGCTATGTTGCCCAGGCTGGTTTCAAACTCCTGGGCTCAAACAATCCTCCCACCTTGGCCTCCCAAAATGTTGGGGATTATAGGCCTGAGTCGCTGTATTTGGCCTTCTAATTTCTTTTCATTTGTTGGTTTGTTTTTTGAGACAGAGTCTCCCTCTGTTGCCCAGGTTGGAGGTGCAATGGCCCCATCTCAGCTCACTGCAACCACTGCTTCCTGGGTTCAAGCGATTCTTCTGCCTCAGCCTCTCAAGTAGCTGGGATTACAGTCTTGCACTGCCATACCCGGCTAATTTTGTATTTTTGTGTGTTTTTGAGACAGAATTTTGCTCTTGCTGCCCAAGCTGCAGTGCAGTGATGCGATCTTGGCTCACTGTAACCTCCGCCTCCTGGGTTCAGGTGATTATCCTGCTTTAGCCTCCTGAGCAGCTGGGATTACAGGCATGTACCAACCTGCCTGGCTAATTTTGTATTTTTAGTAGAGATGGGGTTTTACCGTGTTGGCCAGGCTGGTTTCAAACTCTAATCTCAGGTATCTGCCTGCTTTGGCCTCCCAAAGTGCTGGGATTACAGGTGTAAGCCACTGCACTTGGCCGTAATTTCTTTTTTTTTTTGAGATGGAGTCTTGCTCTGTTGCCCAGGCTGGAGTACAGTGGCGCGATCTCAACTCACTGCAACCTCTGCCTCCTGGGTTCAAGTGATTCTCCTGCCTCAGCCTCCTGACTAGCTGGGATTACAGGCACATGCCACTACACCCAGCTAATTTTTTTGTTTTTAGTAGGGATGGGATTTCACCATGTTGGCCAGGCTGGTCTCGAACATCTGATCTTGTGATCTGCTCACCTCAGCCTTCCAAAGTGCTGGAATTACAGGCGTGAGCTACCGCACCCAGCCCATAACTTCTTCTGAGACGGAGTCTCGCTCTGACACCAGGCTGCAGTGCAGTGGCGCAATCTCAGCTCACTGCAACCTCTGCCTCCCAGATTCAAGCCATTCTCCTACCTCAGCCTACCGAGTAGTTGAGACTAGAGGTGCGTACCACCACGCCCAGCTAATTTTTGTATTTTTAGTAGAGATGGGCTTTCACCATGTTGGCCAGGATGGTCTCAACCTTTTGATCTTGTGATTCACCTGCCTCGGCCTCCCAGAGTGCTGGGATTACAGGTGTGAGCCACTGCGGCCAGCCATCAAAATTTCTTGAATACAGCATCTTATCTGGGGATACTCCAGTTCCTGGGAATTTTCTAATTGAGTTACTTTTTGTTTAGAGCTACCTTTCACAATCAAAGTTTTCCTCAAATTTCTAGTGGTATTTTCCCATCCCATATAAAAGTGAAGCACTAAAAACCTATCTACAAGATTTGTGTACATAAGCAGGCCTTATTGACTCGCTGTAGAGGGATTGGTGGCCAGTTGGCTTTTTTGGTGGGTGCTCGCAAATGTAACTGCCGTCTCTCAGGAGTCACTTAGTTTTTCCACAGAAGGATCCTCCAACATCCTGCCTGGTGGGCATAAGTCTGGCTGTTGACATTCTAGAGCTGAACAAGAATAAATAGCTAAGGATCTCATTTATCCAGTATACAAAGTTGTACTTAATCTCTATTTTCTGAACAGTATCACCTAATAAAGTTTTCTTTTTCCTTTTTAAAGTTGCATTTACTATCTCAGTAACTTTACCCTTCAGCTTTAGGAGCCACAGTGTAATTAATTACTGGTCAATCTTCGCAAAATCTCCTCTCTGAAGCTAGTGCTGCAAATAGCCATTTGAGTGAGCAGAAATTTCTAACTGCAAGACACTCAAGAAATGCTACCATTGGCTGGGCCTAGTGGCTCTCTTCTGCAGTCTCAGCACTTTGGGAGGCTGAGGCAGGTTCACCTGAGGTCGGGAGACCAGCCTAGCCAACATGGGGAAATTCTATCTTTACTATAAACACAAAAATTCAGCTGGGTGAGGGGCTCACATCTGTAATCCCAGCACTTTGGGAGGCTGAGGCAGGTGGATCACTTGAGGTCAGGAGTAGAGACCAGACCAGACCAGCGTGGGCAACATGGCAAAACCCCGTCTTCTACTAAAAAAATACAAAAATTAGCTGGGTGTAGTGGCGCATACCTATAGTCCCAGCTACTAGGGAGGCTGAGGAAGGAGAATCACTTGAACCCAGGAGGTGGAGGCAGCAGTGAGCTGAGATTGTTCCACTGCATTCCAGCCTAGGTGACAGAGAGAGAAACTCCGTCTCATTAAAAACAAACAAACAACAACAAAAAAAAACTGCTACCATTGACCACTGACACCTGTAGGTTAATATGAATATGAATTAAGGTCTCCAAATGAAGGGAGAAAACCCTATTCAATTGAGATACACTCACATATTTTATTAAGGCTCTTAAATTAAAATCATCAATTTGGATGTACATTCTTCAAATTCTAACACAACAGTCAAAATGCAGTGACTATAATAAAATGTAATAACCTCCTATAAAGAAATGATTGGGGACTATCATTTTTGTGATTTAATAATACACAGTGAAAATCCAGGAAGAATGAATTGAGTTCCTTCTGGGTTTATTCCTGCTCATGCTTAAGACTGAAGATTTCGTGAAATAAAGAACATTTAAGAAAGAAAAAATAATTTTTTTTTTTTTTTAAGTGGCCCCGCCTGGGGAGCGGGGGGGGGGGGGGGGGTGGGGCCAGCTTTTTTCTTTTTTTTTTTTTAAAGAAATCATCACTCTCAGGCTGGGTGCAGTGGCTCATGCCTGTAATCCTAGCACTTTGGGAGACGGAGGCAGGTGGATCACCTGAGGTCGGGGGTTTGAGACCAGCCAAGTGAAATCCTGTCTCTACTAAAATTACAAAAATTAGCCAGGTGTGATGTTGTGTGCCTGTAGTCTCAGCTACTCGGGAGGCTGAGGCAGGAGAATCGCTTGAGCCCAGGAGGCAGAGGTGGCAGTGAACCAATATAGTGCCTAGTGCCACTGCACTCCAGCCTGAGCAACAGACAGTCCGTCTCAAAAAAAAAAAAAAAAAAAGAAAGAAAGAAAAGAAATCATCACTCTCATTTGAAAGATTTGCTTTCTTATTCCTGTAAGTACATTTTGTTTTTCTAATTCAACTGTAGCCTCAGGAGCATTGCAGAGTACTTAGTAAACCTGTCTTTGTACATGCAATCTAGTTCTTAACAACTGCCTTCTCAAACGGAATAAAACTGCAACACATAAACAAAAGGAAGATGAGGAAGCACAGGGACAAACACGAAGAAAATAAAGACTAGAATGTGATTCACATTTTCAACAAGTATCAGCAAGGAAAATTAGACCCTGGTTTCATAATTAATTAAATCTGCAGAATGCCAATTCCATTTGGTGTTAAACAGTAACCCAATGTAAACCACTGATTCCAAAATAAGATTCTGAAAAATTAACAAATACCTGAGTGAATGTAACAACATGGCTAGACCAAAAAGGAAAAAAATCTCACACAATAATCACTGCAAGAAGATCCCACAGGTTATAGAAAACATAAAGGAACTTTAATATCCAAACAGTCAGGGTAAAGAATACTGGATTAATACCCATTAAGTGTGAATCCCTTCAGGTTCTTTACAGTACCAGAAAATAAAATCTGAATTTGCATATTGCAGAGAATGAAACCATTTAAAAAACTTTAATTTCCTTACCTGATACTAATACTGGTATGATTTTTAGACTGAAAACTAAGAGTAAGATTTAAACTAAAGATAGGTGTTCCTAAAATGTGAATCTGTTCAGTAGTAACCTTTTCATGAGTACTGATACCACTTTCCCCTCAAAAAGTGCTTGATGTACATTTTTAAGATTTGTACAATAACCAAATATACCGCTGAATAAAAACTGTTATTAGTGGAGACGGTCAATGAAAGAAAACTATACTTTCGTTTAACTTATTTATGCCCAAATAATTTACCCTGCAGTCCATGAGATGTACAGGAAATAATTTTTTTTAATAAGAGAAAAATGAGGGTCCTAAAATAGAAACATATGCCAGAAGAAATCTAAAAATAGCTTCCTGATATTTCATTTTTTAATATTTCATTTAAGCTGCTTTTGGTTACATGCCCTGATCTGCAGATATTAACAAGGAAATAAAATTTCCAAGTATTTAAAAAATTTACTCATCTTCCATAAAGCGACTTTTGATGTATCAACACTTAAAAATACACAGTGACTTAATGAAATAGCACAACTGCATAGAATTGAGCTCCAGAGAATAAAACACTCGAAATGTCTTTCCTGGGCTCTGGTTTACTAGGGTATTGGCCTAGAGACTAGCTTAGAGTCATTTGCCCCTACCTGGGAAATGCAGGCCAGGAAACTTAAGATTTTGCAGGCCTTTTCTGTTTCTAGGTAAAATGCTGGAAGCTCTTTGAAGGTCTTGAAAACTATCAACTATTCAAATGTGTATACTGGCACCTTTCCTCTCTGAGTCAAAGAAGAAGGAGGTTTGTGACCTTCAGTGAAAACAAAATGAAACTTCCCACACAAGTCTTCTAAGAGACTCTGAAATATGCTAGAAATTTCAAAACTAGAACAATGCCATCAAAGATTAAACCTCTTACTGCTTGGAGCACCCCAAAATAATAAAATTGGAAACTCAAGGAAAACAGGTACCAAAAGAATCAAAATAATGATTGCACTGAGGATTCTCTTCTTTGAAGGCTGTTTAAGGAGGTAGGATTTTAAGGTTTTGTTTTGTTTATCTTTTGGCCTCTGAACATTTAAAAAACACTTTGCCCAGCTGGTCCTTCAGACAAAATTGGAGGTCACAATGAACCCCATGCCTGACACAAAGACAGTTTCACAGCTATCATTTGTACATATTAAGTTGATTCACTCTTTTTGAGTAAATCTACCTAGATACTGGCAAATTAATATATTCCTTTGCATACTACTTTGTATCTCAAAATTCTTGAAAAACAAGAGCAGATGACTTTGTATTCAAAGACTACCAAAGTATGTATTTGATTTTCACATGCAAACAACTTAAAACCTTATAAATCTCATGTCAACTCTGCATAATGCCTTGAAGGAAATGACATACAAAGTTTGCTAACTGTGCAAAATATTAAATTGCTAAAACATTTTACATAATGAAATAATACATGTAAATGTTGAAGTTGACACATGAAATTAACATGGCATAAGAACTTATCACATTTCAGATATTTTCTTTAGTAACAAGTTTGTGTTTTTATAGTTCCTGGTACACAGCAAAGTTTATCACAGAAGATAAAAATCCTTTTAAACAAATCCAACAGAGAATTCTTGAGGCACCTTCTTATATAAAACACAAGATGAATGCAATTATCAATCCATCTGAGAAAAGTTTTCAATCTAAATGAACATCATTTTCTCATTTAAGTATACTTTACAGAACTTTAATAAGGCAAGACAAATTTGTGAAAAAGATGTAGATACAAAAATGATGTAAACTAATAATTTATATTAAAAAACCCCAAAAGTATAACAGTGGAGATGGGACAGCTCAAACAATGCCTTTTTTTTTTTTTTTTAAACCTAAAACAGAATTGTGCATAAGCTGAAGATTACAAAGAACTTCTAGACTCTGCACAGTTTTGGTTTTTTTTTTTTTTTTTTTAGCGTCTTTATATTACATGTTTTAAATCATATCAGGAATGCAAACTAGAACTGCACACTACTTTAGTGGAAAAAAGTTCAATATTGTGCAATTTTCTGCCTCTTAATATTTAAAAAGTGGCAGCAATCCCTGCATTTGTGTTTGAAACAAGGATCTGAGAAACTTTATCAAAAAAGGTAATGAAGGCAAAAATTGGCAGACATCCAGCATCTTGTTTCTTTTTAAAACAATGTGGATGATAAGGAATTTCATGATTAAAAATGAATCTTTTAAATAAATACATTGTATCTGACATTTGCACTGACTGATTTGATAAATCTTTAAGTAAACAACGGCTTTACTACACTCCCTGTAGCCTCAAGCCACTGGCTTTAGATTCTGGAGTCCTTTTTCACTGGGTTTCATACCCTGCCACTCGATACCCGGAAGGCTGATTAGGCAACATGCTGCCATTTTGCCCTTGAGGCGGTTGCACTCCATAATTTGGTCCCATCCACGGTGCAGAAGACTGTGTCTGACTGGTGGAGAATGTGAAAGAAGCAGAGGGGAGAGGAAATCCATTGATTAAAAGCAAGTATTGACAAGAACAAATATGGGAAATGGGAAACATACTTTTTTAAAAACCCAAATAGAATAACTTATGCCAGAGAAAATGAAAGCTTTTACTACAGTTTTTTCCTTTTTTAAAGCTTTTTTGGAGACAGAGTCTCTGCCCCCTAGGCTAGACTCATTGCAACCTTCGCCTCCCAGGTTCAAGCAATTCTCTTGTCTCAGCCTCCTGAGTAGCTGGGATTACAGGTGCATGCCACCATGTCCAGCTAATTTTCCTTTTTTTTTTTTTGAGACAGAGTTTCACTCCTGTTGCCTAGGCTAGAGTGCAATGGCAAAATCTCAGCTCACTGCAACCTCCACCTCCTGGGTTCAAGCGATAGTCCTGCCTCAGCCTCCCAAGGAGCTGGGATTATAGGCATGTGTCACCATGCCCGGCTAACTTTTATATTTTTAGCAGAGACAGGGTTTCTCCATGTTGATCAGGCTGGTCTCAAACTCCTGATCTCAGGTGATCTGCCCACCTAGGCTTTCCAAAGTGTTGGGATTACAGGCATGAGCCACCATGCCCAGCCTAGTATTTTGCTCTTAAAATCAAGCATCCTAGCTAGTCGTGGTGGCTCACACCTGTAACCCCAGCACTTTGGGAGACTGAGGTGGGTAGATCACCAGGTTAGGGGTTCGAGACCAGCCTGATCAACATGATGAAGCTCCGTCTCTACTTAAAAATACAAAAATTAGCCGGGTGTGGTAGCACGTACTTGTAACCCCAGCTACTCAGGAGGCTGAGGCAGGAGAATTGCTTGAACCTGGGAGGTGGAAGTTACGATGAGCTGAGATTGAGCCACTGCACTCCAACCTGGGCAACAGAGTGAGACTCTGTTTCAAAAATAAAATAAAATAAAATAAATAAAAATAAGAAATAAAAAAAATCAAGCATCCCTCTATGTTTAATTTGGGCAGTTTAATTTTATTAGAAATTAAAGCTAAGAAAATACCCTGAACATATAAACATTCATCTCCTTTGAATATAGAAAAACCCAACCCCACTACTCTTGGAAAAGAAAACTGTCCATCTCTGTCTTGGTTGAACACTATTTGATGAGTAAGCCGCTACCTGGAAGAGCCAGGTAGGTTTCCCACAATGATAAAAGAACTAACATTTATATTACTCAAAGAAGAAATGAAAGCAAATCATTAGCATATGTAAGCTCGTAAAAATTCTCAACATTACCAGATTTTTTTTTTGAGACAGGTTCTCATTCTGTCATCCAGGCTAGAGTACAGCGGTATGATCTCAGCTCACTGCAACCTCCATCTCCCCGGGCTCAAGCAATTCTCCCACCTCAATCTCCCAAATAGCTGGGACTATAGGCACGTACCACCATACCTGGCTAATATTCTTTTGTACTTTTGTAGAGATGAGATTTCACCATGTTGCACAGGCTGGTCTTGAACTCCTGGACTCAAGAGATCCACCTGCCTTGGCCTTCCAAAGTGCTAGGATTACAGGCATGAGCCACTGTGCCCGACAACACAATTCTTTTTTTTTTTTTTTTTTTTTGAGACAGAGTCTTGCTCTGTTGCACAGGCTGTAGTGCAGTGGCATGGTCTCAGCTCACTGCAACCTCCGCCTCCCAGGTTCAAGTGATTCTCCTGCCTCAGCCTCCCAAGTAGCTGGGTCTACTGCTGTGCAGCACTACACCTGGCTAATTTTTGTATTTTTAGCAGTAGTGGGATTTTGCCATGTTGGCTAGGCTGGTGTCGAACTTCTGGCCTCAAGTGATCTGCCAGCTTTAACCTCCCAAAATGCTGGGATTACAGGTGTGAACCACAACACCCAGCCTACAAAATTCTTTTTTAACAGCCTAAGTATTTTTATTTCCAGTGTGTTTTTCAGAAATGTAAGTAAAATAGTGTAATTCAGGGTGTATAAGGAAGCTTGTAGTATAACAATACATGAGGCTGGGTGCAGTGGCTCATGCCTGTTATCCCAGCACACTGGGAGGTTGAGGCGGGTGGATCACCTGAGGTCAGGAGTTTGAGGCCAGCCTGGCTAACTTGGCGAAACGCCATCTCTACTAAGAATACAAAAATCAGCTAGGCATGGTGGTGCATGCCTGTAATCTCATCTACTTGGGAGGCTAAGACAGGAGAATTGCTTGAACCCAGGAGGGGAAGGTTGCAGTGAGCCAAGATTGCACCACTGTACTCCATCCTTGGGTGACAGTGTGAGACTCTGTCTCAAACAAAACAAAACAAAACATGAATAAACCCTTCGTACAGAAAAAAGCATAATGAATACAACAACTAGCATCAAAGTCAGTGTATATAAGAATGGCGAAGTGACCATTAGTCATGTGAAAAGCTTAACAACTATTAAGCTCTTATTTTCTTACTAAAAAATAAGTCCTTTCAAGGCTATAGTTATGCTTTACACAAGGGGCCCTATTACTCACTAATTCTTAAAATTTCTTCCTAACTAAAATTTCTTTAGACATTTTCAAAGGTTAGTAAAGGAAGAGGTCAGATATGCTTACTTAAATCCTTGCTGGTTCCATGCCTGGCCATACATTCCATATGCAGGAACTTGCCAACCATTAGGCATATACTGGCCAATTTGCTGTGCATTTCCATACCACTGGCCCCACTGGCCATAAGGTTGTGGATATCCAATTTGACTCTGCTATTAAGTAAAATTTAGTATTATTTGAAGTTAACTGTATATATACAATCCTAATATGTTAATACCACAAATTCTTAACCAAAACAGACAGGGCTATCCTTATAATTAAAATGACAGGATAAACAAAAGTTGACTGCTAAAAAAAAAATTAAAAAGTGAGGTTAGACTGCTGTAACTCTATGTGATACTCTGAATGGCGTAAATTTTGGAAGGCATCAGTTGATACCCTAGTAATAAATATTAAACTTAATAAAATGTTTAAGTGTTTGGCATACTATCCACATAACTGTTTCCTTTAGATAGAGAAGATATGATTACTTATTTCTATATTCAGCTTACTTAAGAAACGTATATAGTTTAGGATTTGCTTACTCCCATCTCTGTGCTCCATTTACAATTTCCTCATAGAAATCTTTCTGGAATCAAGTTTGAGTTACTAAAGCTGCCTGGAAAAAAAAAATAAGGCAGCAAAATCTGGAAGAAAAATGCCAAGGCCATAACTATATTTACAGCTTTATTTTTGTTTCAGTTGAGTCAAGCATGCTTGTGAGTTCTCCAAATAGTATGTGAATAAATCTACTAAGTATTAAAAAAAGATTTAATACCCTTTTAGGTTTCTCGGAGCATTTTAAATTCCACTGTGTGAGCATGAGTCAATTGAGGCGGTCACATTCATCATGTCACCACTGCAATCCATGAAACACCATTCTGGAACTATAATACATGTAGGAACAGCCCTTATGTACTGTCATTTTAGCTAGAAATTTATTAATAAGGATTATCAACAATCTTCACTTTAAAATATTATTATTAGTCCAACAATTATCTCTCCAAGTTAAGAACCCTCTCACCTGTTGCACGGGATTTATCATATCAAGGGTTTCTTTGCCCCAATAGCATTTCACAACATGACCTTCAATGGTAGTACCATTAACAGAAACAATTGCATGTGCTGCACTTTCATGGGAATTGAACCTATTGAAAACAATATTAAGAATCACCAATACAAATTCTTTTAAATATTTAGGAATAAAACCTATTTTAAAAATCAGGGTGAGTCTGAGGTAAAACAGTTTGCATAAAAGCATCAATAACATGGCACATTTTCTTTGCTATTTTTTTTCAAAGATCTTGTAGTTCTGGGAAAACTTGTGTTAACAGAGAATGTGTATTTGCTGGCCTTGTGTTAGGAGGGAGCTATAAAATCACAGAGGTGGCCGGGCGCAGTGGCTCACGCCTGTAATCCGAGCACTTTGGGAGGTGGGCTGTTCACGAGGTCAAGAGATCGAGACCATCCTGACCAACATGGTGAAACCTGTCTCTACTAAAAATACAAAGATTAGTTGGGCATGGTGGCGTGCATCTGTAATCCCAGCTACTCAAGAGGCTGAAGCAGGAGAATTGCTTGAACCCAGAAGGTAGAGGTAGCAGTGAGCTGAGATCATGCCACTGCACTCCAACCTGGGCGACAGAGCAAGACTCTGTTTCAAAAAAAAAAAATCACAGTGGCAAATATGTTAGATGCTAGAGAAATTGCGATTTCTTTTTTCTTTTTGCAACGGACTCTGGCTCTGTTGCCCACACTGGAGTACAGTGGTTGTGATCTTGGCTCACTGCAACAACCTCCACCTCCTGGGTTCCAGTGACTCCTGCCTCAGCCTCCTGAGTAGCTGGGATTACAAGCATGTGCTGCCACACCTAGCAAATTTTTGTTTTAGTAGACATGGGGTGGTTTCACTATGTTGGCCAGGCTGGTCTGAAACTCATGACCTCAGGTGATCCACCCGCCTTGGCCTAACAAAGTACTGGGAATACAGGTGTGATTCACTGCATCCGGCCGAAATTTCCTTATCTTTAACTAGGTAAATTTTTAAGAAAACAATGTAAGTCTTCAAAAAATATTTTGAAGGAACAAGTTTTTAATTTTTATTTCTTTTCTGATTTTCCGGTTATATTACCAAGGAAAAGGTTTTTTAAAAAAACCATCCTTACCGAACAAATGAATATCCTTTATCTGGAAAGACTCGAATTTCCATTATTTGTCCAAATGGTGAAAAAGTCTGACGCATTAGTTGTTCTGTTAGACAAAAAACAAAAACAAATCACACTAAGTTATAAATAAATCCTACAAACATTAAGCTTTGCACTTTAAATATTAATGCCACACAGGGAAGACTCCCATACCTGTTAGCCCAGAAGTAACACCTCCACAGTATACAGTACAGTTGCTTGGACTAGACTGATTTACAACCTCATCATATGATAGCTGTTTGGTATTTGCTGGTGAGAGAAAAGGTTTATGTCTTTAATTCATTAAATAAAATGTGCAGAAAGAGAAAAGCAGCATTCACTACACTACTGTAAAGGTAACATTAACCTTGATCAAAATGCTCATATTATACACATTATATTTCAGTCCAGGATTAAACCTCCCCAACAAATGTCTAAAAAATTACCCAGTATTTTCTACTTAATAGGAGACTTGACATTAGAAATAATATTATTTATAATTACAAAAATGAAAACTAAGTACATTTTTGAACAGTAGTCTTGATTTGCTTCTCATCTATTTCTGCAATAAGTCTCCGGGAACAGCTCTAACATTTAAAATCTATTGTATTTTTCTCCAAAATTCCACATTTCCTTTTCTTCTCCAATACACCTACACTCATATGTACTCTTTGGAGCGGGAGGCTTTCGGGTTGCCCAGTTAGTTCTGATTTGTCTTCCACCAAGCCACTGGCCACCCATCTGTTGAATGGCGTTTTCAGCATCCTGTTCCGCACAACATTAGAAACAATAAAGAAGTCACTATTAGTTGATGTTAAACAACTTTTAGCAGTAGAGAAAACTTGGTGCTTTTCACAAACATTTTAAGTGAAAATGGCTTGCGAGGCCGGGTGCAGTGGCTCATGCCTGTAATCCCAGCAATTTGGACACTTACATTGTTACCTTAAACTCTTTGGCTGAGGTGGACAGATTACGAGGTCAGAAGATTGAGACCATCCTGGCCATGGTGAAACCCCATCTTACTAAAATACAAAAAATTAGCTGGGTGTGGTGATGCATGCCTGTAGTCCCAGCTACTCAGGAGGCTGAGGCAGGGGAATCACTTGAACCCAGGAAATGGAGGTTGCAGTGAGCCTACATCGTGCCACTGTACTCCAGCTTAGCGACACAGCAAGACTCCATAACAAAAAAAAAAAAAAAAAAAAAAAAGAAAAGAAAATGCTTTACAAAAAATATCATAGGTTTCCTAAAATGCAATGGTGCTTTTAATTTTTAAATTTATTTTATTTTATTTATTTATTTTTTGAGACAGAGTCTTGCTGTGTTGCCCAGGCTGGAGTGCAGTGGTGTAATCTTGGCTCACTGCAACCTTTGCCAAACAGGTTTGAGCGATTCTCCTGACAGTCTCCTGAAGAGGTGGGATTACAGGCACCCACTACCATACCTGGATAAATACCTGTATTTTTAGTAGAGATGGGGTTTTGTCATGTTGGCCAGGCTTCTTGAACTTCTGACCTCAAGTGATCTGCCCAACTCAGCCTCCCAAAATGCTAGGAGTATAGGCGTGAGCCATCATGCCCAGCCCAATGGTGCTTTTTAATTATTTTTCTTTTATTTGAATATTAAACTTTGAGAATATTAATCATCTGAAAAAGTCCTGAGCCCAAAAGCCGTAACGAGGTACATATCATAAACTTCATACAACTCAGACTAGTATAGAGGAAAATCTTAAACAAATAAGCCTGTTAACAACAATATTTGGTTTCTCATTTATCCAACAAATAAATATTGTAGTTATGTTCCAGGCACGAGGTTAAGGGAGAGCTAGGGATACACTGGTAAACAGGTATACATGGTCTCTTACATTCTTTTGTAGGGAACAAATAAACCAATTACAAATTGTTGTAAGAGCTATGACAGAAACAAAAGGCTGAGATAGAGAATGTAGGCACACGGATCTACTATAGACTGGATAAATAAAGAAGGTCTTTTTGAAATAACTTTTAAACTGAGCCTGAAAGCAGCAGGAGCTAGCCAAGTTTAAACAATGGGGAAGAAAGCCCCAGTGGAGAGAAAGGTATTCCAAAGTGTGTTAAAGCACAGAAGAGTTTAGTATGCATCTAAAAGAAGCAGGTGAGGGAAAACTAGCTTCAATGGAACCTAGTGAGCAAAAAAGAATGTCAGAGAATGAAATTGAAAGAGTTTAAGCAAGGAATCGTCATAATCCATGTTTTAAGAAGGCCACTCTTAGTGCTAAGAGGAAAATGGCTTAGGGTAATGGGTAGTAAGGGGGTAAAGATACTTTGAAAAGTTTGAAGACATATAAATTAAGACTTTGTTAATAAGTGTGGAACAGAGAAATAGACTGAAGATACAAAATTCATGCAGACTAGAGAAAGGGCCTAGGACAGAGCCCTGAAAACAGCAAAAATTGAAACATGGGTAAAGGAATAATCACTAGCTAAGGTGACTAAGGAGGAGCAGCGAGTGATGAATGAAGAAACCCACAAGAGTACGGTCAAGGGAGCCAAGAAAAGACGTTAAGAGGTGACCTTGAAAACAGAGTAGCATTGGTAGAAAGTGAGAGTAAAAACCAGCTTAGCGTAGACTCAAAAGTAAATGGGGTGTAACTTTCCTGCACACACATCAAAGATAAGCTTAACCTACTATTGAAGGAACAGGCAAATTTAAGGCCTTTCTTGAGATATGAAAAGGAAATACTTTTTAAAACACTGAGTAGGGTCTTATTCTGTAAGACCCTATTCTGTAAGATCATAGCTTACTGTAGCCTTGAACTCCTGGGCTCAAGTGATAATCCCACTTCAGCCTCCTGGTAGCTAGGACTATAAGCATGCACCGACACGCCTGGCTATTTTTTTTTTTTTTTTTTTTTTGCTGTGGTAGGAATGGCCTTAACTGGTTGCAACAGACAGTGGGAGGAGATTTGGTGTCCACAGACTAGGTCGCCAGGCTTTTTTTTTTTTTAAATGGAGACAGGGTCTCCATTATGTTGCCCAGGCTGGTCTCTAACTCCTAGACTCAAGCAATCCTCCTGCCTTGGCCTCCCAAAGCTCTGTTATTACAGGCATGAGCTACTGTGCCTGGCAGGAAATACACATTACACATTCTTTTTTTCTGAGATGGAGTCTCACACTGTTGCCCAGGCAGGAGTGCAATGGCGTGACCTCGGCTCACTGCAACCTCTGCCTCCTGGGTTCAAGTGATTCTCCTGTCTCAGCCTCCCAAGTAGTTGGGATTACAGGCATCCACTACCATACCTGGCTAATCTTTTGTATTTTTAGTAGAGATGAGGTTTCACCATGTTGGCCAGGTTGGTTTCAAACTCCTGACCTCAAGTGATCCATCTACCTTGGCCTCCCAAAGTGCTAGGATTACAGGCGTGAGCCACTGAGCCCAGCCAGAAATGCACACTTAAAAAGAAACAAATATTATCAACACTAACCAGTCAGAACTCCATGAGATGCTTAACTAATGTTACGTGTTGAATTGTGTCCCTCAAAATGATAAGTCCTACACCCTGGTATCTGTGAATGTGGCCTTATTTGGAAACAGGGTCTTTGCAGAAGTAATTAAGATGAAGTTATATTGGATTAAGGTGGGTCCCAAATCCAATGACTCAAGTCCTTGTAAGAGGCAAAGATTAGACTGGGCGCGGTGGCTCACGCTTATAATTCCAGCACTTTGGGAGGCTGAGGCAGGTGGATCACTTGAGCCCAGGAGTTAGAGACCAGCCTGGCCAACAGGGCAAAACCCTGTCTCTACAAAAAATATGAAAATCAGTTAGGCATGGTGGTGCACACCTGTAGTATCACCTACTTGGGAGGCTGAGAAGGGAAAATCACCTAAGCCTGGGAGGTCGAGGCTGCAGAGTGAGACCCTTTCTCTCTCTCAAAAAAAAAAAAAAAAAAAAAGATTACATGGATATATAAAGAGAGAAGGTGGTTATATGTGAAGATGAAGGCAGAGATTGGAGTTATACAGCTACAAGACAAGGAATGGCAAGGATTACCAGTAACCATCAAAAGCTTAGAAGCAACAAAGGATTCTTCCAGAGCCTTCAAGAGAGCATGAACATGCTGACACCTTGATTTTGAATTTCACACCTCCAAAACTTTGAGAAAATAAATTTTTGTTCCCCTAAGCCATCTAGTTTATGATACTTTGATACAGCTCCTCAAGAAAAAAATAAAACTATTCACTCAAAAAAGCAGGAAAAAACCATATAATGTATATGTCTATGTTGGTGGTTATGAATGGGAAATAAAGTGAAACAACTCTTGAGAATTATAACAGAGAAATGGGGATACAGGTAGGGAAGAGATGTAAGAATAAAGAGTGGTTGAGGTCAGGTGTGTTGGCGCACACTTGTAATCCCAGCACTTTGAGAGGCCAAGGTGGGCAGATCACCTGAAGTCGGGAGTTCGAGACTAGCCTGACCAACATGGACAGACCCTGTCTCTACTAAAAATACAAAAAATTAGCTGGGTATGGTGGCATATCCCTGTAATCCCAGCTACTTGGGAGGCTGAGGCAGGAGAATTGCTTGAACCTGGGAGCGGAGGTTGCAGTGAGCCGAGATCGTGTAATTGCACTCCAGCCTCGGCAACAAGAGTGAGACTTCATTTCAAAAAAAAAAAGAGTGGTTTTGATTAAGAGGTACTAGATGGCCAGGGACGGTGGCTTGTGCCTATAACCCCAGCACTTTTGTAGGCCAAGGCCACGGGGACTGGTGGAAGCCAGGAATTCAAGACCGGCCTGGGCAACAAACTGAGATTGTTCCTACAAAAAAAAAGTTTTTTGTTTTGTTTTCTGCCTCTCAGGTTCAAGGGATTCTCCTGCTTCATCCTCCTGAGTAGCTGGGATTACAGGTGTGCACCACCATGCCTGGCTAATTTTTGTCTTTTTGGTACAGACAGCGTTTCACCATGTTGGTCAGGCTGGTCTCAAACTCCTGACCTTGTGATCCACCTGCCTCAGTCTCCCAAAGTGTTGGGATTATCAGTGTGAGCACTGCGACTGGCCTTTTTAAAATAATAATAATAATAATAATGTGGGCATGGTGGCGTACACCTGTGGTCCCACCTACTCTGGAGGCTGAGGCAGGAGGATGGCTTGAGCCCAGGAGTTCTGAGGCTTCGGTGAGCTGTGATCACACCTCTGCACTCCAGCCTGAGTGACAGAGTGAGACACTGTCTCAAAAAAAAAAAAAAAATCTATTACTGCTCGGGTTCAACAAAATTCATAAAATAATAATAATAAAAAAGAGAGATACTAGGTGTTTTCTGGTTGATGAGAATCATCCAGTGGAGAAGGAATAGAGTGATGACACAGGAAAGTAATAAAAAGAACAGTATATATTATGTGATTCAATTTATAGGAAATGTTGAGTACAGGGAAATCTAGTCAGTACATTGACAGTTGCTCAGGGCTGGCAAGAGGGGCATTAAAGAAAAAGATAGTCACTGCTAATGAGTTATGTAGCTTCTTTTTGGGATGGTAAAAATATTCTAAAATTGATTTTGGTGATAGTTGCACAGTTCTGTAAAACCACTGAATTGTACACTTTATTTATTAAATATTCTAAAATTGATTTTGGTGATAGTTGCACAATTCTATGAATTACCTAAAAATCAATGAATTGTACACTTTATTTATTTATTTAATTTTGAGACAGGATCCCACTCTGTCACCCAGGCTGGAGTGCAGTGGTGCAATCTCAGCTCACTGGAACCTCAACTCCCTGGGCTCAGGTGATTTCCCCCCCTTAGCCTCTCAAGTAACTGGGACTAAAGGTGTGAGCCACCATACCTGGCTAATTTTTGTATTTTTTTTTGTAGAAAAAGGGTTTTGCCATTTTGCCCAGGCTGCTCTCAAACTCCTGGGCTGAAGTAATCTGCCTACCTTAGTCTCCCAAAGTGCAGGAGTTACAGGTGTGAGCCACTGTGGCCAACCACACTGTGTACTTGAATAACTCAATAAAGCTGCTGTTAAAATGAGGCAGTGACAGCACAGGCTCGAAGTCCTTGAAAAGACAAGAAAGGTAGGGACACAATCATAAGTGATTTGGCCTTTGACAGGAAGGACCTTTCCTGTACTATAATAGAAGGAATAATGGGAAAGTGGATGAATTTTATGTAAGTTTGGTGGTTGAAAGATGAGGAAATTCTTGTATGGTAGTCTCGTTTTTTATCAGTGAAGCATGAGATAAAGGTGTTAGCTTAGGGTAATGATGGAGGAAGAAGGGAGGATAACTGAAGAGATGGAGCAGTGAGGAATAAAATAGTCATCACAAAGAATGGGAAATCAAATGTATCAGACAAACACACGATTGCCTAGATAGTACTCTGTACTCATCTATAATGTGTGACTATTAAATTAGAAGTAAAACCACTTGGACTCAGTTTTTTTCCAAAAACATTCAGTTATTTTGGGGTAGGCAGAGAAGCTAAGTTCAATCAGAATTGTGGTTTTCCTAGCATGTAGAACACAGGAAGGCTGGTGGGTAACTACAATCAAGGCGGTAGCACAGCATAACAGAGCCAAACACATATCACAAATTCTACAGAAGTTGAAATTTATAGATTATATTATTTACTCAAAGTTAGCAACTGTTTCATAGTGGTTGTCAGAATTTGCATATATCTCTGGCTAACTCCAGAGGCTGGACATAGGTATCAATAGACAACCTTTGCTATTTGACTCTAGTTCATACTAAACACAGATTCAATAGTGATTTTTATATAGCAGAACCCTATAGCTCATAATTTCAAAAATATGAAAAATTAGATCCTAGCCCACCAAACCCCCAACTTATTTCCCTAAGTTGCACTAAAACATTCTAAAAACCTATGAGGAACTCAAATAAGGAACTCAACTTAATCATGGCTATCAATCCGCTGTACAAGGTATTTTTCTACCTTTCTAAAATACTATATACTGTGATTAATAGTAAAGTTTTCAGAAGCAACTAAACTGTTATAATTTTTATTTTCTCATCTCACAGGAAAATAATAATCTTTTAATTGGTAGATGGGACGTGTACATGATTGAGCTTGTATTTCACCTCTCAATATACTTTATCATTTTCAACTTTTTTTTTTTTTTTTCTTAAGACAGGGTCTCACTTTTTCACCCAGGCTGGAGTGCAGTGGTTTGATCATGGCTCACTGCAGCTTTGACCTCCTGGGTTTAAGTGATCCTCGGACCTCAGCCCCACAAGTAACTGGGACTACAGGCATGCGTCACCAAGCCCAACTAATTTTTTGTAGAGATGGAGTTTTGCCATGTTGTCCAGGCTGGTCTTGAACTCCTGACCTCAAGTAATCCACCTACTCTGGCCTCCCAATGTGCTGGGATTACAGGATTACAGGTGTGAGCCACTGGGCACAGCCGAATTTTTGGAATTTCCGAAAAAAAATAAAATAAAAAATAAACATAAATTTTGTAGACAAAGGGTCTCACTATATTGGCAGGGCTTATCTCAAAACTTCTCAGCCTCCCCAAGTGCTGAGATTATACATGCCCAGCTAATATTTAATTTTTTAAAAAGTTCCTACCCATCACAGTATTTTAATTATTTTTTTTGAGTTAGGGTCTCACTCTGTTGCCCAGGCTGTGCTGTGGCATGATTTCAACTCACTGCAACCTCTGCCTCCCGGGTTCAAGCAATTCTCCTGCCTCAGCCTCCCTAGTAGCTGGGCCTACAGGCACCCCAAATTTTTGTATTTTTAGTAGAGACAGGTTTTACCATATTGGCCAGGCTGGTCTCAAACTCCTGACCTCAGGTGATCCATCCGCCTTGGGCTCCCAGAGTGCTGGGATTACAGGCATGAGCCACTGCGCCTGGCCTCATCACAGTATTTTATTAGCTACTTTTAAATTACCATGGGAATATAAACAAGGGAGATAATGAATTAAGTCCATAAATGAGATTTTCAACATCTTCCTTTGGCTGATAATTTAAACAACTTTACTTCTTATATTCTGAAAACATGAGTACTCTGCATGAATCAGCAGGTGTTAATAAATGTTAAATAGACAAAACAGAAGGAGATACCTTCTAGTGAGGATTTATTTTAATTATCAGTAAAATAAACAGCAGATGAAAGAAAGATTAATAATTAAAACTGAGTGTTTCCATTCTTTACTGTTTAAGCATTGTACATGCACTTCTGACTGAGCTCACCCATTTGTTGAAAAAGGAGACAAAGCCATATCCCTTAGACTTTCCTGTTGCCATGTCTTTTACCACTCGGGCATCTCTGAAATCAGAAACAATCAGAAGTTTAGGTTTGCAAACTGTCCTCTGGATATAAAATGAGAATTTCACACACAACTGATTATCATGTTTCACCTTCATTAAAGTGAACCTTTAATGCAAATTCACCTTTTATTCTACAAAATTTATCATGTATTAGGAAATGAGGCTTAATTTTATAGACATGCAAATCAGTAACTTCTTAAGTATATATGCATATGTACATTGTACAGAAATTGCCTCTCCAAAAAAATTTTTAAACTTTTAAATATTAAGCATGGTGAAAGCAGCTACTCACATGAACTACTTAAACATTTATAAAGTTCACAGGATATTAGATGAATGGCTTTCTTTAACCATGCAATTTATAATTTATTTGGCATTATATTCTACCTTATAATTAAAAAAAAAATAGAAAACCGGAAACCAAAAGCATAAAAAAGTTGTACATTCCCTAAACTAATTAAATTATTTCATTTTTTCAGATCAACTTATACCCCCCTTTTCGACTAGAGTAAAATTTGAGAAGTTGACATTTTTAGAAATGTTAAATCATTGAAGAAAAATACTAGACAAACACAAGTTTTAAACTATACAAGAAAAGATTTTACACTGAATTTTATAATAGCATTCATATAAAATTGATTGGAACTACAAGATATAAAAGCAAAATTTTAAAAAGTCAGAAAGTAAAAAAGCACGCCAACATTTATCCACTGTGAACCGTAGCTTGTAGTTAGCCAGGGCAATTCTGTCCATTCTTCAGAGACACTCTGCAAAATAACCAGAGCCCTATTATTTGAGATTGAGTAAAAACCCAGCCATGATAGCTAAAACTCCATACCTCAAAAAATTGGACTCAAATTGTGCTTCACAGGCAATCTGCTTTTAAGTTAGTCAGGTATGTCATAATGCTTGCTCTCTTAGGACACATGAACAAAACAGGCACTTTTATAACAAAAACCCAAGTCTGAAAGCCATGCAATGTAATTTTCTATTAAAGTAGATATAAGCATATTTTAGATCAATTTGAATGATTTATTAAGTGTTCAGGGTCAAAATGACAAAGATGTGGTGGTGAAAAGGGAAAACTAATGTAAGTCAATTCTTAATATGCAAAAATACTTAATAAATTATTTGTATGGTACACATGCATTTAATTTGGTAGCTGACTCTCTTCTACACCGTAAAATATTAGTCTACCCTAAACTCAAGGAACAGGAAGAGTTCACAAGCTGTATATAAGGGAAACTACCATGTTTTTTATACTAAATGCTTTTACAGACCACTGTTTATTACACATCTATAAATCAAGCACTGATATTTGCACTTTTTAGAGATTATCTATCATGGGAACCCTTCAACATACAGTTATCAACTTATCTCCTTTAACAATAAAAAATCAGGAAAATATGCTGACTGCCAAATGATTCCTTTAAATGTAGGAAAGCTAACTCCTTGTATAGCCTAAAACTCAAACTATACATTATCTCAATTGAAAATCCTAAAACTTAAAGGTCTCACCAAGAAAAAAAAAGTCTACATCAATAATCATGGGACCATAAGAAAATCTAGACTAAAAATATGATACAAAAACATATTTAAGAAAAATAAATTATGACCATGATTTGTAAATCATGAAACTGCTAAAATTTGAAGGTCACTTAACTTAAACACACCAACTGTTAAACAATCTTTGCCTAATCCCAAACTAAAATTCCCAGGTTTTCAAAAAAGCTACCTCAATTGAAATCAAAGCATTTAATTAAAAAGCTACTTAATCTGTTCACAATGTTAGAAAGTTTTTTCTTCTTAAAGGTTAAGGAAATGTTAACCTTGAAAAATGTTCAACTCATATTTATTTCTCTCTGAAAACATTCTCCGGAGAAGCAGCAGCAAAGATCTAGATCAGGCTTCTTTATCTTTTTATGGTCCTGTGACTATTCTGACAATAGGATGAAATTTACAAAGATTTTCCACACCAAAATGAAAACACAAATATTTGCACAGAGATTTAGAGCTCTTGAGAGGCCAAAGGATAAGACTGTCTAAGTCTAGATATTTGAAAGCAAGCCAATTATTATTGAAACTCTAAGACATTATTAAGAGGAACAATCAGAAAGAAAAGCTATACTTATTTTCCTAATCAGGTCTCACAAAGAAAAATGTCATCTGAAAGTCCACTGATAAGCCCTAATTCTGTGACTGCCTTTAAAGCTGGCCATTCCTTGGTCACATGCATTGTCACCCACTCATCAACAAACTATAACTCTTCAAATAAAAACTCCCCAAATTCATCACCAACACTACTGGCATTTACTTCCCAGTCTCCTCATCTCATCTCTGCTGTTGGTCTGTTCAAACCAAACCACCGTTAGCATTGCCTTTTTAGTACTCTTTTAGGTGGAAAAATAATAGAGCAACCGGAAATCCTGAAGAAGTTTTCTAAACTAAATAATTACTCCACAGAAAGTACCATAAACAACTTATTATTCTTACTCTAATATGGCATGCTTTTCAAAATTTTAAAGTTCTTCTATGATGAATACTATATCAAGTAAGGTATTTATTCATAAGGGCCTAAAATGTATGATTAATAACTGTATCAAGTAAGGTATTTATTCATCAGGGCCTAAAATGTATGATTAATAACAAGTGCAAGCAAGGCAGTGCTTCATAAAATACTATAAGGCACTATTATTGTTAGCAGTTTTTTTAAAAGGGTGCAAATACTTAGGAAATAACATTTATTAACTGCTTTTTAGGTTGAATTGTTAAAGTTTCTTTTTGTTAAAATATATTAACACAAAATGCATGGTATCATAGACGTGCGCAATGGATCTAAATTCCTTAGTCACAGCACAGTTTTAACTAAAGATTATCACCAAGCTAGCCTGACACCTATATAAGAAACTATAAAATGTACAATGGCAAATCTGTCTCTTAAAAGCTATGCTAACTGAAAAAGGATTTTAAGGTAATTGAAAACCAGAGGTTTATTCATCAGTGGGAAAACAATCTTTTGCTGTTAACTTCTTGAATGACCTCTAAACAATGTAATACATTATAAATTAATATAAAAAAATCATACTAAAATTATTTTCAAGTTATATCTACATATAATTGTTTCTAATTAAAAAGATTTTATTTATCTTCTGTTACTTACGATATTCTTCCAAATGGTGCAAAAGCAGCTTTTATATCTTCAGTTGTAATTTCTGGACTGAGATCACCAACAAAGACATGGAAATGATCTTATAAGGGGAAGGAAGGGGAAGTGAAAAGAAAAACAGAACTTTAGAATTTAAAAAGTACTAAAATCTATCCAATAAAGTATTCTTAAAATGATTATGACTTACGATAAAGTATAAACAAAACACTATCCTATATCTATACAAATCCTATCAACTTTAAACGAGTCAAGGTAACAATATAGGAAAAATTCTCCTGAAAAGACTGTGATACATCTAACAGGAAGTGACATTTATATTTCTATTTACAGTCAATTATTATACTGGTCTGAGAAAATAAATTAATAATATACAAGTTTCAGTTCTGCAAAAAATTTAATGACTTAGTTACCATTCTAATAATAATTATTTACTTTTATTCAGTTTACCACTATATTAAGGCTTTACAAATTAAAATAAAATAGTGGTACTGGGAATTATGTAGACTAGATTTGCCTCAGTTAACACAATTTACTGAAGCTAGCTACATGATATATACTTGGTTTAACCATATTTTGTGAAGAACAATCAAAGAAATACCTTGCATTGCAACAGTTTGATGTTAAAGTATTTGACAGTTTTCTCAAAAGCCAACAGTTTTGGTTGCCCAGACATTACACCATTCAGTTTATGTGAATCCATGTGCAAGTGAACTAAGACTGAAGGCAACAGAATGAAAACAGTAATCCCTTCACTTTATATCAGAACCATTAAAAAAGCATTGGAGAGAAATAACCATCCCATATCTGAGTTTTTAAAAAAGACAATTATCAAAAAAAAAGAAACACTTTAAAAATGCAAAATTGTTGGACCAACACTTTAAAATGGACACACACATAAATTTGACAAAGCATATTTGGAAAGAAAAGTTACCCATATTTGACAGGCCTTAAACAACATTTTGGATTGCTCTTTGGGAAACAAAATTTGAGGAGCAATTCAAGCATTTGGAAGATCTGAGTATGAAGCCCAGACGGTGACCTCAAGAAAGCCGGGTATCTTGCCCCTTAGTTGGTGAAAGTAGTTCTAAGGCATCAGCTGCTACCAAAGGGGTCAGAAAGCTTGAACTAGCACCAAAGTAGTGGACAAGCTATACTTGGTCAACACTGAGAAGAAGTGAGAAAAATATTGCTAGAGAAACAAATAGAAATACTATCTCCTCCCGCCCCCCCTCCCCCAAATATCATACAAAAAAACTTCAGGTGGTTAGTGAATACCCTTTCAAGAGATTTCATTTTATGTTTAAGAAGATACAATTACCTTGTGAACGCTGTGTGCTGACAACGGTACTACCTGATGACAAAGATTAGATTTGTTCTTAAATTTATTAACACAAACACATTCAATCATATCTTAGGATAACGATCAAAACATTACTGCAAACATGTACGATGTTTATGGGCTTTACAATAAAACTACTGGGTATAATAAAAACAAATGTTCAAAAAGCGTAAAATATACTTACTGCTTGTATCTTTCTTTTGACTGCTGGGGGTTGTTGCCCAATTCACTTTGACTTCCTAAAAAAAATTTTCTACATTTATACTTCATAAAAATAAAGCCCAAAATCACATTTGCATCTATAAACATAGAGGAAGTTAACTATTTAAGATGAAACACTAAAGGAGATGCCAGCTCTGGTCCAGTTTCAAAACTTATCTTCTGAACTACATTTAGGCAAATAAATAATGTTGACAAATCCTAATCTTTCTATGTCTGTTAACATTCAATTAACCTTTTTTACCTAAAAGTACCAACATTATTTTTTTCTTTGATTCTTTTCCATTAGCATCCAAACATTGAGTAATTCAGCAAATATTTTAGTATTTACCATAATACTAACATAGGTTGGTGGTGGCTCATGCCTGTAATATCAGCACTTTGGGAGGCCAAGGCAGGTGGATCACCTGAGGTCAGGAGTTCAAGACCAACCTGGCCATCATAATGAAACCCTGTCTTTACAAAAATACAAAAATTAGTTGGGCATGATGGCAGGTGCCTGTAATCCCAGCTATCATGGAAGAACTGCTTGAACCCAGGAAGTGGAGGTTGCAGTGAGCTGAGATGGCACCATTGCACTCCGGCCTGGGTGACAGAGCAACATTCCATCTCAAAAGAAAAAAAAAAAAAAAAAAAAAAAAAGAGGGCAAGGCGTGGTGGCTCATGCCTGTAATCCAAGCACTTTGGAGGCCAAGGTGGGTGGATCACCTGAATCAGGAGTTCAAGACTAGCCTGACCAACATGGTGAAACCCTATCTTGGAAAAAAAAAAAAGAAAGAAAATACTGACATAAACACAGGCCTCTGCCTCTAAAAGCATTATCACATCTTTTTAATATTAAATGTGAATAACTGACCTTTTTGCTATAAAGTGTTTAATGTTTCAGCTGGGCGTGGTGGCTCACAACTGTAATCCCAGCACTTTGGGAGGCTGCAGTGGGAGGAATCACCTGAGGTTAGGAGGTCAAGACTGCCTGGTTAACATGGTGAAACCTCATTTCTACTAAAAATACAAAAAATTAGCTGGGTGTAGTGGCAGGCGCCTATAATCCCAGCTACTCAGGAAGCTGAGGCAGGAGAATCGCTTGAACCCAGGAGGCAGAGGTTGTGGTGAGCTGAGATCACCAGCTTGGGCAACAAGAGTGAACCCCGTCTCAAAATTAAAAAAAAAAAAAAAAAAAAAAGGATTTAATGTTTCTAAACAGGAAATAAAATCATAAATTTTTTCAGCGCAAATCACCTTCTTTAATTATGACAGCTTACCTTACCCATTATCTTCCGTCCATTCATAGCAGCTAATGCTGCAGCTGCATGACGATGCTCATGAAACTCCACAAAGCAATAGGGATCATTTCCAGCTGTCTGTGGGAGAAGAAACACAAAAGCCAATTTTAAGCTTTATTCTCCCATTAGCTTAAAATTATGTAAAAAAAATTTTTAAACCAAGTTTTATACATCTAAATTATCAGGCCATGGAGAATGAATGGTCCATTCCACAAGTGAATTTTGGATAAAAAAAAGTAAACAGCCAGGCCTGGTGGAGAGCTCCTGTAGTCCTAGCTACTTCAGGAGGCTGAGGTGGGAGGAACGCTTGAGCCCAGGAGTTTGAATCCAGCCTGGGCAACACAGCAAGAGCCTGTCTCGAAAAGAATTAAAAAGTAGAAAGAAAAAAAAGCCACCACTTAAAAATCATTCTGCTTTATAGAAAGCTATTTTCTTCAACAAGTTATACTATACTATTATAATTTAATATTAATGACTAGGTATCCTAACTGGATATAAATATAGCTATAATAGAGATACTATATTTATAGCTAAAAATAGAGATATTTTCTCCCCATCATCATATAACCATTTCTTCAAGCTATACAGATTAAGTTTGACTGGACTCCTAGGTTCTGAAGTCTCACTTTGGCTTTTTACGATCTTCTATCCCCTCCCTGTTATATGCTACTTTTTACTGCTATAAATGTACACAGCTCCTCGCTGCTTCTAGCTCGCTGAGTAGCAGAAAATCTTAGCCAACCTTCTTAAAACTATTTTTCAAATATAGGTAAATAGGCTCTGAAAACTGAAGAGACTCTCTGGTAAGTAAAACTTTAGGTTTCAGAATGCGAACCTTCTGACAACAATTTATTGCTTGCTCAGAGCCTTTAAAAAATTATCTTCCCAGCCAGGCATGGTGGCTCACGCCTGTAATCCCAGCACTTTGGAAGTCCGAGCCAGGCGGATCACCTGAGGTCGGGAGTTCAAGACCAGCCTGATCAACATGGAAAAACCCCATCTCCACTAAAAATACAAAATTAGCTGGGTGTGGTGGCAAATGACTGTAATCCCAGCTACTCGGGAGGCTAAAGCAGGAGAATTGCTTGAACCCGGGAGGTGGAGGTTGCAGTGAGCCAAGATCATGCCATTGTACTCCAGCCTGGGCAACAAGAGCAAAACTCCATCTCAAAAACAAAAAACAAAAAAAATTAAGTACTTTTTTTCCCCCCAGGAGACACAGACTCAAGGGAAATGGGGTCAGTGTTCCCTAAATGTCTTTTTATACATATTATGATTCGGGTTAACACCAATTAGATGAATGAGTTCAATATGTGTGTGTGTTTTAATACATTAAAGTCTCATAAATAGGAATTGCCTAAATACAAGAAAAACTTGAATCATGACCTTTAAAAATAAAGTTAAAAACAGTTTCACTGTATCAAATGCCTATTACTTTTAAACCTGTTTCTCAATTTAATTGTAACAGCTGAATTTATTAGCCAACCAATTGACACTACATATAAAATAATCATTTCTGATGCCTCAATGCACCTGAAACAGCCCACATATACACAGTTCCCATCTGATCTAGAAATGACTAGTTCTATTCTCACCTTCCATTATTTAGTAAAACAAATTAAATTCAGTTGTCAAAACAGGTTCATTACAAATTCACTAAATTCCCTATTAATTTAGACCATAGCAACGTAAGAATTTATACTATATTTAGACTATAGTAAACTAAGAATTCCTTCCAAGCAATGGCTTTAAGTAACATGTTTAAAAAAAAAAAAAAAAAAAAAAGAATTCTTATACCCAATTATGGAAATAAAAAAAAAAAAAAAAAAAAAAAAAAGAATAAAGTTAACTAAGTAAAATACCCTTACATCCATAATCATTTTGCAGTTTTTACAAGGTCCAATCTGGCTAAAGAGTTGCAGAATTAAAGCTTCTGTCACATCCCTGGAAAGGTTACCGACGTATCTGAAACACAAAGAAAATCAATTTACCTTTTTTTTTTGAGATGGAAGTTTCACTCTTGTTGCCCAGGCTGGAGTGCAATGGCACAATCTTGGCTCACTACAACCTCCACCTCCTGGGTTCAAGTGATTCTCCTGCCTCAGCCTTCCGAGTAGCTGGGATTACAGACATGCGTCACCATGTGGCTAATTTTGCATTTTTACTAGAGGCAGGTTTCTCCATATTGGTCAGTCTGGTCTTAAACTCCTGACCTCAGGTGATCCACCCTCCTCGGCCTCCCAAAGTGCTGGGATTATGAGCGTGAGCCGCTGCGCCCGGCCTCCTTCTTTTTTTTTTTTTTTAACTCTGTTGCCCGGGTAGAGCGCAATGGCGTGATGTCGGCTTACTGCAACCTCTGCCTCCCGGGTTCAAGCGATTCTCCTGCCTCAGCCTCTGGAGTAGCTGGGATTAACGGCACCCACCATCATGCCCGGCTAAGTTTTGTATTTTGTGTGTTTCTTCTTAGTTCAACTTGAAATTTTTGTATTTTTAGTAAAGAATGGGTTTCACCATCTTGGCAAAGCTGGTCTCGAACTCCTGTACTCGTGATCTACCCAACTCAGCCTCCCAAAGTGCTGGGATTACAGGTGTGAGCCACCACACCCGTTCTTTTTTTTTTTTTTTTTCCCATTTTAAGAGAAACAGTCTGGTTATATTGCTTAGGCTGCTCTTAAATTCCTGGCTTCAAGTAAACCTCCTGAGTAACAGACTACAGAAATCACCACACCCAGCCCAATTTACTTTTTTTTGAGACACAGTCTGGCTGGGTTGCTGAGACTGGAGTGTAGTGGTGCAATCTTGGCTCACTACAACCTTTGCCTCCTGGGCATGAGGGATTCTTCCACCTCAGTTGCCCAAGTAGCTGGGATCACAGGTGTGTGCCACCACATCTGGCTAATTTTTTTGTACTTTCTGTAGAGAATGGGTTTCATTATGTTGCTGAGCTGGTCTCCAACTCCTGGGCTCAAGTGATCTGCCCATCTCGGCCTCCCAAAGTGTAATGTTAAAGATTACAGGCATGAGCCGTTGTGCCCAGTCCTAGATTTACCATTTTAAATTTGCTTATTCTGCATCAGTTTCTACAACTGTTATTAAAAATTAAATTTGAGAAACAGGCAGATCTTTGCCTTCAAGTATATATTTGGGAATAACTTTTACAAGTTTGCCAACACTTAAAAATCTCTTTGAAAATAGACATAAAATGTTATTTGAAAATATATTAGCTGGGCACGGTGGCTAATGTCTGTAATCCCAGCACTTTGGGAAGCCAAGGCAGGCAGGTCACCTGAGGCCAGGAGTACGAGACCAGCCTGGCAAACATGGCAAAACCCGTCTTTACTAAAAACACAAAAATGAGCTGGGCGTGGTGGTGCACATCTGTAATCCCAGCTACTAGGGAGGCTGAGGCAGGAGAATCATTTGAACCCAGGTGGCAGAGGCTGAGTGAGCTAAGGTCATGCCACTGCACTCTAGCCTGGGCAAGAGCAAGCCTATGTCTCAAGAAAGAAAAAAGAAAATATATTACACCCTGTTAGTGAAGGAGAAGATAGTATGTGCATATCTGTTTTAGTCATGGTTTTGCAAATTAAACCTCTTGCTTTTTTTTTCTTTAACAACCCTGCAGAAAAACTATTGCTTGTTTTTAAGTTTCCAGGCTAACCTTAGGAAGATAAGCTTTAAAAAACACTCAAATAAATCATTAGTTATGTAAAATATTTTATATAATAATGGGCAGGTGTGGTGGCTCATGCCTGTAATCTCAGCACTTTGGGAGGCTAGGGTGAGTGGATCACGTGAGGCCAGAAATTTGAAACTGGCCTGGCCAACATGATAAAACCCTATCTCTACTAAAAACAAAAATTAGCTGGCCGTGGTGGCACCTGGCTGTAATCCCAGCTACTGGGGGGCAGCTGACATGAGAACTGCATGAACCAAGGAGGCAGAGATTGCAATGGGCCCAGATAGTGCCACTGCTCTCCAGCCTGGGTGACAGAACAAGACTATCTTAAAAAAAAAAAAAAAAAAAATTATATGATCAAACCTAAGAACCATTGCCATTATTTCTACTTCACACATTTTTGAAAAGTTATAGGTAAATTACTTATTAGTTGTTTTGGATGGTAACAATGGGATGGGAACCCTTCCACTTAACATTACTGATTGGTGGAAGAGGTGTGAAAGGGAGTAGAAAGATCACAGATTATGAGTTGGTAATCAATACAAATATAAATGGTGCATTACAAGACCACAAGACTGGGATGAACTTCACTTAAAGGGTTTACACTGAGGGCAATGGCTCACATCTGTAATCCCCGCACTTTTGGAGGCTGAGGTGGAAAGATCACTTTAGGCCAGGAGTGCAAGACCAGCCCAGTTAATACAGTGAGATCTCCATCTATACAAAAAAAAAAAATTAGCCGGACATAATGGCACTATGTCCCATGGCATGGTCCCAGCTACTTTGGACACTGAGGTGGGAAGATCACTTGAACCCAGGAGTTAGAGGCTACACTGAGCTATGATTATGCCACTACACTCCAACCCAGGTGACAGAGCAAGACTCTGTCTCTAAAAAGAAAAAAGTTTATAAATAAGTTTTTTAAATGAGATTTTGAGATGAGATAACCTCTAGTCATGTAAGAGAGTTAAGAGGTTTATCAGTTCTGAAATCAGAGAATGTAGTCTCCCCATAATGGTAGAGTTTCTCATTTGTCTCTCAGGTATCCTTCAGAAAATTTGATACAAGGCATGGACTTTCTCCTCAGAAAAATAAATATTCATATATGCTCACAAAGTGTGGATTCAATTTCTTCTTTCCATCTACCATTCAACAAAGTGCTTAACATGAAGCCTTCGGAAAAGGTTAAGACGGCAAAGGAAGAAATGCTGAGTCTTAATAACAAATGACATTTAAAGATCAGGTAAAATGGCCAGGCACGATAGCTCATGCCTAGCCAGCACTTTGGGAAGCCAAGGCAGATGGATCACCTAAGGTCAGGAGTTCAAGACCAGCCTGACCAAAATGGCAAAACCCCATCTCTACTAAAAATACAAAAACTGGCCAGGCACTGTGGCATACAACT